AATTAATGACACGGCCCTTGGCAATCCCGGCTGAAATCCCTGATAAACCCTCTCTCTCTTTGTTTTGACTTACTCTCGATTTTAAGACCAGCAATGTACATATTATACTAGCGTTAATATTCCTCGTACCGCTGGGCAAAAAGTTAATTATAATGTGTACATATTTACCCCTTAATTTGTTTACGCTCGAGTCGCTTACCAAAAGTGTAATTGACAGTTGGCAAGATGATGGGGCCGTCTCGTAATTAATTAATTGACTCAAATTAAATCAAGACGAATCTCAGAATCCCAGCTTAATTAATTCGCTGCCACGTCCCTCACAGTGTCACATCATCCACACGTGATAAATTAAGGCTTTAAAGAGGCGGCTGCACGGTCTGGAAGTCACTGCTTTGTGGGCAAAAGTGCACCTAATTAGTTTTCCCCCTCGAATGAGTGAGTTTTACGGCGGATGTCAGTGACCCGACTGCCTCGGAAAATATTCAAGCCCCCGTCTACATATTTCAATAAGAATTTTCACTCGAGAAAGTTGGGTCTTCAAAGTTTCTACAACATTTACCTGTCTGTAAGTCCATGTTTTTTTCTCTTTCTCCCTATTTCTTTTTAAAGTTTCTCCTTGTTTCCTGCGACTTTTAACTCAAGGATTACTGCAGATGTCAGACTTAAGTTTAGTGAGCAATGCATTTGTTGAGCTAAACTTTTTACAAATTGCTGATATTAAAGATTATAACATCACAAACACTTTCATTTAGCAGTCTGGACTATAATTAATATATTGTTTAACCACTAAGTCTTTAAAGAAAACAAACCAAAACTGAATCCGAAATGTTTTATAAAGAATCTTAAAAGTGCTTGCAAGTCAAGAGTGTGCAATTTAATTTACTCGTTCATTCATTACATTCTTCCCTTTTTTCTTAATACCCTAAGGGATTTATTTGCACTTCCACACACATTCAAAGAAGTCGGATTATTGTGGCTGTTGCCTTGGTTTCCGGAAAATTCAAGCTTTGATTTGCAGACACCTGATTTTAATTACGCATACGCCCCGTGTGATTCAAGGCTAGCCACAAAAATGTGCGTTACGTTTAAATTGAATGATGACATCAACCGGGGATAAAAAAGAAACAACTCCTCAGGGCCAGAAGCTCTCCTTTATTCGATAATGGCATGCTGGTAATTCGGATTAAATTTATTTATTAATGTCTCCTGGCGCCAGGACTCCCTCAATCCAGGCAAACCGAATACGGAAGGCTGGATAAACAAGAGGACAGCCGAGCCGAGCGATGGGGAGTACAATAATAATATAAACATGCTATGTAAATTTGCTGTGTGGCCGGGGCCGTTTTCGAATAACGCTCAACCAGTGGCAGATGTAAGATTTCCAACAGCACGTGACGGTATTACCAAAGGCGATTTTCCCCGGCCGCCTCGGGTGGCAAGAATAAATCAATGTTGGCTCTTGCCGAAGCACTGGGGGGCCAAAATGCGAAAGTTAAAATTTATTTGAAAATTCAACAGAGAAAAGCAACTATTGTGCTCCGGCATAGCCTCTGGTCGACTCACCTGGCTCGCCTTTCACCTGCGTCCCAAAAATCTCTTTCTAATTCCACACAAATTAGGCACAAGAGAGCAGAAATTGAAGTGAAATCAAATACACGTCAACCTAAATTCAATTGCGAACATGGTTTAGCTCAAGGTCCTTTGGTTGCTAGGTACAAATACTACCCTGCTTCCTTTGGAATCCTGAGCTTATGGAGTTTTGAGTCATCGGGAAATGATTTCTCATCATTTTATTTAAAGTAAGTTGTATGCTGATTTAACAATTAAAAAATATCGCATTAAACAATTGAACGTAGTAAGTTAGAAAAAACATCATCAGCATCATTTATAAAAATATAAAAATTACTAAAAATATCGAGTATAATTTAGAAAATTGTTCTCTTCTTATATTTATCTTTTTATCGATTAAAAATTTGAAGGCTATATTTTGCTTAACTCTTTTTATTTAATATCTTACAATAAAAGTCCTATCTAGAACCGATGCTTATGTCTCACGAAAATACTAATATAAAATATCTAACAATAACTAAATATTTATTATATAAGAAAATTAGTTTAAACCTGACATTATTGAAGATTATTCTTCTAATCTGCCAAAGAATCTGAGCAAAATTTATTATTATTAAATGCCTTCCCATACTACAAGATATTTCGCTGTCCGTAAACTTTGTCAAGACATTCCATTTCCTTTTTATTTTTGCTGTATTTATTTTTATTTTCTGGCCAATCAGGAAACATTAAGCTTTAAGTAACTTGAATTTTTATATGTATCCTTTTCTATTAGCCTTGTGAATTTTTTTACATTAAACATTGTTAATATTGTATAGAAGTTATGCAGGAACGTGTCATTGAAACCTTTGCAAAGAGTACTTATTATGTTAAAAACTTCTGTTTTCCTTTCTAATCTTGTGTATTTAAACAGATTCCTTGTTTTAAGTCATACCTCGAGAAGTGTGCTCTTAATATGTATTGTTTGCTAAGTAGCTACTTCTAAGGAAATATTTTTTCAGCTTCTGTTTGCTGCTGCTGAAGTAATATACACGCTGTATTACGTATACGACACGTGGCACGTTGTAAGAGCAACTCGAGGCACATTTACATCGCATCAAATCGATAACATTAAGTATGTACATTCATCCGCGCATTCTGTCGGGATATATGGATACTCCCATTTAAGTACAGAGAGGAGGCTAGAGACAATCATCCGACCTTCTACCACGATTCAAAACAATACCGAACTTTGTGGCATCCACAATTCGAACTAGATGTTGTTTTCACTATAAAACTAGACTTCTACCTGCAGCAAAGAACTTTTGTACTTGTAAGACACAAAAACTGTCCCTGGTTGTTCCTCTCGATTCGAACAGATTGAATTTGCAGCCTCAGGGACCTAAAACATGAAGGGAATGCTTGGGAACACGATAAGCTTTTGTTGTCACTTTAATGCGCAATTATGGGGAATCAGAGCGGGAAAGCCAATGTTGACACAAAAAACAGTTTGAAGTACACTGAAAAACCATTATTGCAAGGCAACCAAACTGAAAAACTCAAAAGAACTCGAAGACACTCAAAGGTAAACAGAACAATACCGTAAACAATATATTATATTATGTTATTCTGAATTCATTCATTATAAATAATGTTTTGTGGCTCAAGTTTGTTTTGTTTTGAATTTAATACAGGTTTATTAAATCTAAAAGTAAGTCATTGATATATCAATTAAACTAATAGGCTTAATCGAATGCGATTCAAAATTCTACATCAATTAAAAATAGGAGAGAAAGAGATGACAACTTAGTATTATAATTACAAAAGTAATACACCTTTTTATTTACAAATTTCGAAAGTATGAATATTTTTTTTCAAGTGCACCCACACACTGTATGAATTTAAAGCATCTCCTTGTCCAACTATTCCCCATCGACTGATGCTCTCTGCAGTCAAAGCCATCACAATCATTGCATTGACTTTGAATGAATGTCGGGGGAGAACGAACGATTGTCAAGGCTTTTAACAAAATGAACTTGTGTCATGGCTGTACATAAATTAGATTGATCAAGAGAATGTATATTCTATATAAACATGTATGTTTGTTTACGAAATTTCCATTTAATGTTCAGACTTTAAGGTGACACTGTTAGTAGTCCAAGTCCACATTGCAATGCTGACACCGTCCGTTCACAATGGTATTGCCGCCTCTTTGGTAGATGGTGCCACGCCCCCTGCCGTCACCGCCTCGGGATATGACCACGTTCCCACTGCTGCCTGGAGAGGAGAAGCTACGATACTCCTGACCATCCAAATAGACTGGATCTCCGTGCGGGTTGGGACCTGTTCGAGTACAAAATTGATCGAAGGATTGGGAATGGCAATGGCTTCTATGTACTTACAAGTCAGGCATACCCCATTGACCACCACCGTGCTGGGATGGGCTGCAAATGATTAGAAAGGTATCAATTAGCTTCTGCTGCTAACCGGCAGCAGAATCAATTCGACATGCTCACCACAGACAAGAGCCGGAATCAAAGCCAACGGGAGCAGAACACACGTCAGGTAGTTCATGTTTGAGCCGATAGACAACTGACTGGACCCTCACCACGCCGCTTATATAGTGTGCTCGGTCGGCAATTCAATCCGAATCAAAATCAATTTGCATAAGCCTGCATTCTAGCGGCAATGCGCTGCTTTCAAAACACACGGAATTCGAGGCACTCCATATAGTACACTTGTATTCCTAACAGTTTTCCCCCCGCACATAAACAGATTTCGAAGGGTTTTCCCCAATTCGATTCTACGTAATTGATTTCCTTGAACTTCTACAGATGAAATTTATGAGAGTCACGCCCAAAAGCACTGTTTACAATTACTGCCAGTCGTTCTAAACATGAATGGCAAACGCGATTCCAGAGAATCACACCCCCAACCTAGCCATCCATCCATCAATCCATCGCAGCAAAACTGGTTCCCGTACTAAAATGTCGTGACTCGTGAACAGAACGTAAAATGTACCGCCACAAACTGACATTTAATAAAAATGGTTTTAAATACAAAATAAACTAATTAAGTACCACAAAAAATAAGTAATTCTTAATGATTACAGAGGATGAAAGTACATTATAATTGAGTAACTTGCAAACTAATTGCAAAAGGAAGAGAGATTTCTTGAGAAGTGTGTCTTAAAATCTGAGATAAATGTAAACAACCCCCTTTTTAGGCTCATATATTTTAAATTTTTTATTATAACAATTGTAGCGCATCTAGTCAACACTTCAACTGAGCTATCTGATGAGCTACTAATTGTTTTTAAAAGTATCTGTGGGCAATTCCCTGTGGAGATTTATACTTACGTAGCGTTTTGTTTATATGCGAAGCATTCTCTGCAGCGATAAGGTTCGAATCGGAACGGAGATCGGTGAGTGCATCGTATATAAGCGGCTGCTGTCGATTGTACCTGGTCCAGACCAGTTCGACATATCAACAGATCCGCACAATAATGAGACATCTGACGGCATTGGCAATACTCGCTCTCACTGCCCTGGCGCTGACCGAGGCGGCTGTTTACATTGGCGGCGGTTGCTACGACTGTAAGTTTGACCCCTGAAAATATATTTCAAAGCTGAGCAAAGAAAAAACACAAAAATGTAATCCAAGAAAGTAATATTTCAGATATTGTTAGCCCACTCCCAAATATTGTTTACTTGGGATTATTGAAACTTGACTTGATGATTTGGTGCAAGTTTTTTCTTTTCTAACAAATAATACAGCGAAAGCAACAGTCTTTTTAGAACTTGTTTTAGAAAATATGGCCTTAGTGTGTATAGGTGCAGAGTTGTTGACTCTGAAAACAATTACTTAATGTATTTTAATTTGAAGCTCTTGAAAAGGAATTGATTATTTGTTAGACGTTTAAACATCCCACGAAAAATGTCTCTGTTAGTTTTCTGCAAAGTATAAGCAAGGTTTTAATGCTATGAAGATGTTATAATTTAACTGTTTTTTATTATTTAATTTTGAAATGTGGTAAAGCATTGTGAACTTTGCTGACACTTATATAAACTTGCAATTACATTTAGAACGCAAACCAATTGCGCGCAATTAAGTAACCGCATGAACCTCTCATTCGACCGACACTTTTAGGTAATCCGCCCGGAGGCCAGGGACCTGGAGTCTACACAGGGGTCAACGGAGGACGCGGAGGAGGTGGTGGCAACTATTACAACGGAGGAGGTGGCGGCCGCGGAGGAGGCGGTGGGCGTCCAGTCTATTCGGGTAACTTCGGACCTGGCTATAACAACGGAGGTGGTCGCGGTGGCGGTGGCTATGGCGGCGGCGGTTACGGAGGTGGTTACGATGACGGCGGTCTAACGCAGATTATAAGCGGATGAGTATATAATCTAGGGGCTTTACGTCATTAAATACCGCAAATGACCAACCGTCAGCTGATATTTAGCTTTCCCATTAATAGAATAAAACAAATACAAAACAGAAATAATTGTGTGTTTTATCAGTACGTTTATGACATCGACCCTTTTTATATAATATTAAGGGACATTTGTATGCAACTTTTAGTAATTTGTATAAATTTATTTATTACCTTTATTGGTAAATAGAAATGAATTATCTAATTTATCAGTCCTTGTGTTAATTATAATCACAAACATTGCTAAATTATTAACAACTTATTACATTTATTTCTTAATTTTTATTAGTAAATAGAAATTAACTACCTAATTTATCAGTCCTTTTGTTAATTATAATCACAAACTTCGCTAGATCATTAACAACAATACTGATGAACAATTTGTAAATTAATCAATATAAAAATATGATTTCTTCGTTGACTTATTCATTAAGTTACAATGACAGTGTAAATGCAATATAATATAAACATGTTCCTTGAATTTGGTACCTAAAAAATTGCATTGCATATTCTTAGACAATTAGACAAAAATAAGGTTTCTAAGCCCATAGTGATTTCACCCTTTTATATAATTTTTCTAACAAGAAACCCTCATAGTTAAAGACTCCCCTCATTCTTAATGCTCTACTTTACCGGACTCTATATTTATTCGAAATATTCCTTTAAAAAATCCCAAAGGACCTGTACTTTTACTACTTCGTTATAAGCATTTCAGTGCTAAGAGCTAGGAATGGTAATTTTATGGCAGGTAGGAAATTATTTTCTGATTTGATTGCCCAGAGTCATAAATTGTAAAATGAAATTCCCTTTGAGTGGTATGTGTTTCCGGGCTATGAATTGGCCCGTTGGCCGGTGCCAGTCCAGCACTTTGAGTGAATATTACCCGGAGGGTATTTTTCCGTTTTTCTTGATTTATTACCTACCATGCGTTTTCATATTCATGTTTTGCTAACCATTTGCATTTTATGGGATCCAACATTCTCTTAGAAAAATAGGCGGAATTTTGATTAAAAAGTAATGAATTTGATGTTCGTGGAAATCTAATTTAAAGCAATTTGTGAATAAATGCATACCTACTTGGCCATGCTCTTTATTCTGTAGCTGAAAAAGAACTGGGAAAATGCATTTGCTCTTTCAGAAATTGCTCAGTTCAAGGCTCGGGCTTCCTTCCTTTCATTCTATAGTTTAGTTTCCTAGAGAACAGGACACCATGGAAACTTTTGTGGGCGGAAGGCAAATGAAAATAATTGATAAGCATTTCAAAGTTTCGGGCTCCCTATACTTATCTCTCTTAATTACAAGGCTCGTCCTTGTTAAATATGCATCGCATCGGATTTCCCCAAAAAGATGGGGGAAGAAGAAGCCCATCGCCACTTAATTGATTCAATTAAAAGTTCGATTTATCTGCCGAACAATGGTTTTGGCGAGCTTGGTTGAACTTAGCGACCCGGAATCGATTTTTTGCCCTTTATTAAATTTCAATTATCTTTATTAAAGAATGCACTTCAAGCTGAAAAACGGATAGAAATACGGAATTATCCTTTTGTCAGACCATTCCATTATATGTATGGTTTAAGTCTCATGTGGCAAAGATGTATTTATTGGTGGCAAAAATATATATTCCTTTCAGGAAAATCGGTTTTATATTCAATCAAAGTTTCTAAGAACTTTCTGTGTCATATTTATACTTAAGCTCTCTTGGAAGAATTTCTAATTAAGCTTTGGGGAGGTGAACAGCTTATTTCTTGGGGTATTTTTTACTCTTTTTTTCGTTTCTTTGGGTTCCCTTTGAGAATGACAGGTTGACAATTTTTTTCTTTCAACCCTGCGGTTGAACTTTGCCGCTTGAATAAGTCACAAAAGGCAGGGTAAATCGAGTCAAATGATTCGTTGCAAGGTCCAGACAAAGCCACCTGTTCGTCCACTGTTCGATGCATAGGAAATATTGTCTGCTCCATTACACTGCATTCTCCGAACTAATAGGACCCGGCTTCCCACTTCCCAGGACTACTTCAATTACGCGCTTGCCAAGCAACAGCAGCACCACAAGTCGAGCCAGCAATTTTCAGGCGAAAAGTGACAGAATGGAGTGGCAGGTGGATGTACCACGGAGCCATTAGCGTTCAATTTCCCAGCTTCGGGTAAAAACTAAGCAAGTGCGCGAGCGAAATTAACTTCGACCGTCCCCAGCCACCTTGCCGCTTTGCGACGTGAGCAACTTTTAAAATGGCCAACTTTATGCATCATCCTGGGGAAAGTTTGCTGTTGCTCGGGAAACTGTATAAAAAAAACAGTCGATATGATCTACCTTTACGTTATTGTGTTTTTTTTTTCTCTGCCATTTAAGGTAAGCGAACTGATAATATTTCCTAATTAATTTTTAAACTTGTGACCCATACTTTGTAACTGGAAATATATTCCCTCTAAGAACTAAGAGCATGAAATGAAATACCATAAATATCACCAAGGTTTTAAAGCATCGAAAAGTGTTCCATAGAATTTTCATTTGTGCAATGTAGCATATTCTTGGGAACATTTTAAATAGATTTTGAAACACTCATAGCAACTCCGATTGAAAGGACTTTTAGCAGGCCATAAATCGGATTAAAAGGATTCTGGAACAAGGAATCTTATCAATTGAGTTCGAATTGCAGCAAGATTAGGCCAAAAGGGGTATGCATGAACCAACCACAGAGTTACCAAAATTTGAATCCTTCTCCATGAAAGGAAGCCCAACTAAAGTCCATCAATGTAAGAGTTTCCAAAGCCAGGATGCAGCAAAACGATTGCAAGGCGGAAATTCGAAGCTCTACTGTGAAAAACACATGGGAAAAGGGAAGGCTAAAGTTTACTTGCAGTTTATGCATTTTCCAGGCAGAGGCTTTTATTTTCTGTCGGAGGCTGTAAGAGCTGTGTTAAAAATCCGAGAAATCTCTAGTCACGACAGCAGCAATTTAATCTCGATTTTAACACTGTTACTTTTGTAAACTAAATATTAATGTGAAATTTAAGTTAGGTGAAGAAATCCTCCTTGACAATGTCATATACAAAAACAAACTTTTAACAACCAATCTCGTGAGGCAACAGTTGAGCGGCAGCTGAGGCAAATACAACAGCTAAAAGTTTTCTTGGCTAGGGATAGATTAAAAATAATAGTTTTGCGAAGGTTCTGTCAAAACTTTACAAGCTTAAATGTACGAAAGCAAAAACAAAAAATAAAAGAAAGCAAATTACAAACAAAAATATATGAAGAGTACAGCTTTCGGTAACTACCAATGATGATATGACCTCTGAACTTTATTATAGTTTGAACAAGAAACACAATTTGGTTTAATCATTTGAGTTTTTGTTACTAAATGGATATTTGTAACTATACGGGTAAAATAAATAACAAAACACCCATGAATTTCTCCCTAAAATGCTTATGTTTCAAACAATTTCTCATTACATTTATTATATCGTTTATAGAGAATTTCAATAGAGTTACCTGATATTAAGGATATTTAAATCCCAATAAAATTCCGTAAAATTAAGCAACAATATGTTCCAAGGACAAAATTCAGAGTAAATTTCCTGATTTTTATCTGTAACATTTTGTAGCATAGTTTTGGAAACCCTTTTGTGAAAGATATATATTTAAACATGAATTTGTTTGCCCAATTAAAAAACACAATAAAAACTATTTTTATTATATACTGTGAGGGTTTTATTATCGAATTTAAGCTCCAATAGTGGGCACACTTTTTTTCCTGTACAGTATTATTGAGTTTGCGTGAAAAGGGTAATGTAGTATTTATGATAAATTATTGGTGCTCTGAATGAGTTAAAAATAGTCTACGAAAGTGTAATCGATTTCATTTGTGGGTTTCGGGCACTATATTAGATTTGTTTATATTTTACATTTCCTTGTGAATTCATTGTACGAACGTTGTGAAAAATACTGAACTCATCTGTTCAGTTGTGTAATTGAAAACACAACCTGTTTCGTTGATGTTAAGACTCTTATAAAATGACATATTTCACTCATGAAGACTATAGCCATATACTGTTCTCACTTTAGGAGTGGGCAATAGAAACATTTTTTGTTCAAAACGTTTAATTGTTTTCCTATAATTTGGGGTTTTTCTTAATATTTAGGTATAATATAATAAGTGTAATAGATATCCGACATGAATTAAGAGCTCCTTAACCGGAAAACGCAAAGGTCGAGAAGCTACGGCATATCTTCGTACTTCTGTAAAATTTTGTTAATACAACATTTTTTATCACCTCTGATACCATTTTAAACTATTTCCAAAACTTCTCCATGATTGCCTGATTATTTTCTAAAAAAAATCACGAAATATAACAAGTTAACATATATATCCCACTTAAGCGATTTTAAAGGATTTATTATGATTTCCTTTACTAAAGTTACCTTTTAACAAAACTACAAATTTTGCACACAAAGCTTAATAAAAGTGTATTCTTATGTCATCCCTTGTCGCCTATTAGGTTTCATTTCCAAGCAAACAACAAAGGCAGTGTTGTTTTGCTACAAAGTCACATTTATTTTGGTGGCAACAATGTTCTTTCAGTGTGAGTAGAGAATTTAATATGCAGGCGCAGCAGATGCTGTGGTTTGGAAATTGAAATTCCAAAAAACGAACTTCAGAGTATTTGCCTTCATCTGTTCTTTGTACCTGTGTATCTACTCCTTGGTTATGCATCCGATTGTTTCTCTGCGGTTGCTAGTGGTTTTCGATGGAACCTGGATATTGCTCCGCCCACAGCTGAGATGGGGAGGCACCTGTAAAAACTTGAATTCCTGGGTAACAGGGAAGGCAAGGACAAGTAGATCGCTACTGGGAAGAAGTACACCCAATTAAAACCACTAAAGAAGAGTACAACGTGAGTATGTATTTTTATTTGAAATATGCATTTAATTTTGACTTAACGTAGGAAAGAAAACCGGTGCCGCTTTCCGACCCCGTAACCCGCCCGCCCTCGCACACAGACACACACTCAAGCAAACGACACCGGAAAACGCACAGACACATATAAGTAGAGACGGGAAACCCAGAGAGGGGGGAGAGAGTTTTGTTTCCAGGACACTTTAAGGGAGCTCAAATGCTAGGCATTCTCAATGGGGCAGCCCAAAAAGCAGAAACTCAAGTTCGGACATCCACAACCGCTTTACATCCACACCTGCATCCACATCCACACCCACAGCCACACCTCAGATCGCATTCCATTCACCTGACCGCACTCACACCTATTGGCCATTTCCAATTTACGGCCAGAACCGCATCGCCATCAGCATTAGGAGCAGCGTCGCCGCCACCTGGCATCCCAGCCAGCGCCTGTCCAGTTCCAGTCTCAACCCGGAGGCATGGGCGCAGATGTTTTGGAGCACGGCGCAGTTCCGGAAGTGCTTCTCGTCCGACAGCATTTTGGCCGTCTCGCGGGCAAACTCCGCCGAGTTTTTGTAGCACTTGTATCGGGCGCTGTTGTAGATGCAGTTCTCGTACGCGTACCGGGCGCTGTAAAAATACAGTTTTTGATTGCGATTGGTATCGATTGTAAACGAAACAAAAAAACAAAACAAGAAATTCACAACACCCATGCTAGGGACAAGGTAATAAATTGTATTTCCCTGACTAGAATATTTCACATCAATTCTTGAATAGAAGAAAAACTAAATAAGAACGGAAGCTGACTTTTTATACTCTACTATTTTTGCACTGTGGCTTAGGCATTCCTATTACAGATATACAAAATTTAATATAAATTAAAATTTTCAAATTTTACAAAATAACTGAGACCATAGTTTTTATAGAAATGGACAAATGGATGGAGAGACGGACATTGCTCGGTGGAATCGGCTGTTGTTTAGAGAAATAGAGAGGGATTCATTTTCGACAATATACAGCCTAAATTCTCTAAAGCTCAACAACCGAGTCGATCTAGCCATGTACGTCTTGATGTCCGTTTATTTGCAGGTCAATAGATTTCTGTGCAATGTAGTCTCTCAGTTTTTGAATGATAGAATGATCTATTTAAACGATAGCTAGTCGAAGTCTTAAGTTGATACGGCCCAGATCGGAACACTTTAGCATATATCTGTCAAAGGAAACGAGCCAGATCGTTCTACTATAACATAAAGTTGCCATACGAAAAATCGGAAAATTAACGAAAAGTTTGTCGATTTTTATCAGATATTTTTATCCGTGACGGGATATTTCATATTTTTGAAAATCAGGCGACTATATTAAATACATAAATTTATAGAAACCTTCCCTGTTTGAAATATTCTAATCAAGTCTTTTTTAAAATCTCAAATTTCGGTTTTAATTTTTTTTAAAACGAACAGAACAACTGTTTTTAAGCAAGAACTAAGCATATACTAATAATAGCTAAACAATAGTTATTGTATACGATATTAATATAATGTAATGCTTTAAACTTAAAAAATATAATAACTAATAACAGTAATTTACAGCTGCCATAGGTTAATTTATATTAAATTCTTGGAAAGTCCGCTAAAGTTTAATGTTTTTTAGATAATAGTTTAAAGTCGCCCCTGTTATTTTATTTAAGTATTTTTTTCGCTTAACCAAAATGGATAGTACTTCCGTGGTTTTAATCTTAAGAGTTTATAAACTTTGGCTTTGGTTATCCTTCTGTGCATGAGAAAGAATGGAAAATATTTCGCTTAACGAACCGACCAAATTCTGAGAATTTTAAAAAAGGCGGAGGATATAGGGAAAACCTTCTCCCAAGGAGACAAGTGTTTCGTTTAACGTACCAGCAAAATTCTAGGAACTTTTCGCTGGCGTTCCGCGTCTCGTCGTGCACCTCGTCGCTAAGGATGCTCTCGAACTCGGACGTGCAGGTGACCCAGTCCAACTGGATGTAGGCGAAGCAGTCCTTGTGCCGCAAGTAGTCTGCAAAATTTCCACAGAAAAACAGGTCGAGGATCCTTCACACGCACACTTTTGTATGTATAAATGAAGTAACTGCTGTTGTGGCTTTTGCAGACTAAGTCCTGTCAAGTTGGGGTCCTTTGTTTAAGGCTTTGCCGAGGGCTTTGCTCCGGGCTTTCTGTGCATGTGTGTGGTGTACTGGTGTGTGGTGGAGAAAGCCTGAGCTTGGACACCTCGGCGCCTGAGGGTATGCTAATGTTTTGGCAAGTGTCAACGGGGCGAATTGATTCCTTCCGCTGCCCCCCGAGAGTACGGTGCTGATAAATTTTGGTAAGCTTACCGCGCTGGAAGTCAGTGTCGGCACAGAACTTGTTGAAGAACCTCCTCGCTCCCTCCACATTGTTCTTGAACGTGTCCAGCTTCCGATCGTCCAGGCAGCGCTTCGAGTAGGCATCGAAGCACTTCATGCCGCGGTTGAAGATGCTGCAAGACATAATTCGATTTGAAGGAGGCACAATTGAGTGAGGTCTAATTGAATGCTGCCACTCAAGTTGCTACTCTGCTGACACGTCCCTTACATACACATATATATTTGGAAATTGCTTTTCAATTCAACCATTTGCTTTAATGCTTTTCCATTTGTCAATAGGGGGATTTAACTAAAGCATTATCCCTGCAAATGTTAAATCCTCTTGCCCATATCTGAATAGTTTTGTAAAACCTCTTATTGATTTAGGAAGAATTCGTATAGAAATCACTTTAACAGTTGCGAACTTCCATTTACTACCGTAAATGGTATGGTATTTCATTAATTATGAAATATTTCTTTCAAAGAAATGTTTTAGTTTTGTGTGTAATTCTTCTGCAAATGTAATTAATTTTGCCTAAGAGTTCAGCAGTCAAAGCAATAATTTCTTAGTTGCAAAAATATGTCCTTCGAAGAATTTTCGGAATTCAATGCCAAGTCAAACGAAAATTGACGTATTATACTAATTAAATTTGGTCATGACAAACGAAGTTTGGCAAATACCAACATGGTTATACATTAGGATATGATTTCCAAGTAATTTAATAAAGAGAATTTTATAAATTTGACAATTTATAAGCATTAAGGAAAATTGTAATCCAAAGCGACCTTATTTAATATTTCTAAAGAACATTGATAATTAAATATTTTCACTGCCAGCTTTCAATATTTACTGTCATTTATATTTCCTTTTCATTAATGGCTATTGTTTCTGATTATTGTAAGCACACCGATTAACAGTTGCCTTTTCAGAGATACTCAAAGATAATTTATTATTTAGGAGTACATTTCTTTTAATTCTTGTAAATTCATACTTTATAAATGCGGGTTATCCTTTCTTTTTTATATTGTAATGCAAGTCATTTTAGCTTGATTTATTATTATCACCAAGATACCAGAATAATTAATCACCATTACCTTTAATAAAAGTAGTTGTTTTTCGATTTATTTCCAGTTCGCTTCAAGAAACTTAGTAGTTTCTAATGTATTTTTTATATCAACTCATTACAAACCAATTTCTTCCACGGATTTCGAATGAAATATATTGAACTCCAATTAGCGAATAAAGAACACTCTAATGCCAAAAGTCTGCAACTTATTTTTGGCACTCAAAAGCCGGAATAATTAATCATCTCCGCAGACGCCCAGACAGGGTACCCAGCCATTGTGGACCCCACTCAAGCCGGGATATTGTCCCCTGTCGAGCCAAACACGTCCCTGAATAACTTTTAGTCCCAGGAGCTGCAGGGAAATATGAATAAATCGCTTTCCCTGCGATTCGCCTCCTTAAGCGCCTTGAGTTGGCCAATCAATAATGGATGTGCCTGCCCCCTTTATTGGACACTTAATGGGTTCCATTTTTAGAGCCCGGCGTACTTGCACTTGGTGGTGATCTCCTTCTGGCTGATGACGATTTTGCTGTTCTGCAGGAACTCCATTAGGTGCGGCGGCAGATCCTTAAAGCACTCATCCACCATGCCCTGAGTGCTGCCGCACTCCTCGCCCGGTAGCGCCACTTGTGTTATATTCCCGTTCTCGGCCAGGACCACAACCGTCACACCGAGCAAAGCGACACAATAACCGAGTAAAACACTGCACAGTGAGCTTCTCAGCCACATCCTAGCAGGAGGACACTTGTTGCCAGGACCCGGAATTGACGTATGAGGATAGTAATGGACCATTTACTGGTCCTCTGAGTTAAACCAACCGCACGACCGCTGACACTGCACTGAAGCGACCAACCGCAGGCAGCGTCTATTAAAAGGACCTCTGCCGAAGGGACCTCCTGTTAGGGCTCTGTTAAGGCTCTGTTAGGTGGGCGCATGCGCCTGCGCGTTGCTAGCACGTGCTTCGTCCTTTGTTTACAATACAAAGCAGCCCACCTTCTGCCAGTCAGTTGGACAGACAGACTGCCGTGGGATATGGGAGTCAGTTGTAAAGTAACGTCTAGTTGAAAGCCTTACTTGGGAGGCCAACTTGACGCACATGAGTCCACTCACCAAGCAGCCAAGCACTGATTTGCTGCTAATTAACTCACCTGATTTTCCGAGAGTGCATCTCCTTTCTGTTATGATACCAATTTTATAGAATTTACAGGATTTATTGTAATTTCTTCTCTTGGGGCCTGGCCTTGCTTGACATTTACATTGTCTATTTCTATTTAACTCACGTTATTGTCTTGGTTAGGTTTATTATGTTTTTTACACAAGAGCGAGTTCAGGGATTACCAGGAATCTAAATCGTTACAGTGAAGGATTTTTACTGAAAAGATGGGCACTTTCCTACTCATTCTCCCAGCTTTATAAGAAGTCAAGGTACTATTAATATGTTTGTTCTAAAACTCCAGTAGTAAGCTCAAGATTTAAGAGTTATAATAGTATAGTTCTTTGGCTTTGTTACTCGGAACGTTTTTAGTTCCTTAGTAAGCTAAGATAACACATACTCACTATTTAAACTCCTGTATTTAAGGTTAATAATAAATGGAAAATCATTACGGTTTCCATTTAACAACTGAATCATTTCTACTCTCATCAGAATGCCATTCAAGTTGATATCTTCAAAATATGATTACAAACGTACTCGATGCCACCTGCTGATGAATCAATCAATGTCATCGAATATCAGGTTAATAAACCGTCAAACCCGCGAAAGTTCACGGTTTTTGCCATGTGAATAAATGAAGAAAGATAATGCAATTATGTCGAAACTCAATTAACATTGTGATTTCTATGGGTCCCAGCTTTAAAAATAAAAAATAACATATTCTCTCACCTTTGGAATGTAATTTTCACCAAAAAAGAAATATTTTATTGGATTTTTTTATAAACATTTATTTATTCAAAAAGTTATACATAATCGTACATACATACACAAAATGTAATTAATTACACGTGCGTATTTGATAGATATTTTTAGGTTTTGAACATATGGATTATCTCACAATAAAACGATGATTTCCTTCTCAAACGTATGCAGTTAAAATAATGATGCTGGCGATGAATGAACATTGTTTCAGATGTGTTTTGTTAGGACACCACACAACGTTTGGTTTGATTAATGCAATGAGCATACAACTAAATGATTTAAAACGTTCCTTTCTGTTTTGTTTTTTTTTTTTAGTTACACAATCATTGAGAGAATTACATTTGCATTTTGTTAAAATCAATGCTGAACTCATCGTTAGCAAGGGTTTCGAATTGCTACGATTGCACGATTGCCGTTATTATCAATAAGAACTATATTATATTATTAGATAGCATGATTTTAGTTTTGTTTCTGAGTATAAAGTCTCACAATGTGCAGAATAATTTCAAAATGTTCTGATATTATTTAATTCATTATTCATTATTCATCAATGGTTTTAAAGATTATTTTGATTGGTGCCAAATTGTTGAAACTTGTTTAAGGCACATATTGATAACAACTCGATTTCCCAACAAAAATTCATAAAAATTCTTTAATTTAAAATAAAGTGTGCGGCAACAAGTTTATTTTGGACGAACGCCCGCTTTGTACCATAAATTAAATGCAATTCCTTTTCGCGTTTTAGTATTTGTTCGTTTCTAATCTGCCTGCATTCATTTTTGTTTACATTTAGAAATATATGTATTATTCAGTTAAGAGTTTTCAACAATGCCCGATCGCATGCTCAGTGGCTTGGCTTGGTGTTTATTTTAAATTAAAGAATTCTCTTTTGTTGCTCTCTCTTTTTGCTTCTCTAGAACAATTTGAAGATTTAAAAAATAAGTTTTTGTTTTTATTTCTGCATATAATACATTAGCGTTAAATTAATAATAATTTAAGTTTAGCGTTTAATTGTACATAATGAATGCTTGATATTATCATCATAATAATCATACCTACGCATGACCGTGTTTCATTAACTAAATATGGCTGTTAAACGTGTTTAATGTGACATTATGCAAATTGTTTCCCCACTCCGCATTTTACACAATCGGATCGGAGTGGGCAGATGTAGATATTTTTTAACATAATCAAAGAATACTTCATTAACAAGGGCTTGCGTCAGTTTAACAAAAAATAGAATATGCTTTACGCTTACTTAAAAAAAGACGGCACAAGATCGTTGCCCGACATAATAATGAGTTGACCCGGCTAGGACCTCTATCGCCTAGTCCCTTAAGAGTTCGCAATGATCAGGGGAGAAACAACTAACGTTCATCTAGCGAAAGATTCATAATTTCAGTTAAAAGAGCAGTTTAAAAAAAATAAAAACATTTTTTGTTGCTTTTATAGAGTTTCTTGGATGAGATTCCGTTAACATAATAATATTCTTTAGTTCGATTAAGGGGGTTTTGGGATTATTATATACAGACTTGTATATGCATATTATGTTTATGTTTATATATATAAATATATATATAAGTGTGTGCGTTTGCTTTAAGTATGTTTTTGTTCGTTGAACTTTTCACTAAACTTTGTTTTTCCATTAGATTATGTTAATTAAACTAAGTTCTATGTTTGATTCTCTTATCAATTGTTTTGCTTTTCGCTTACGTTGCTTAGTTTTGTTTTCGCTTTGTTTGCTGGCAAAACTCAACAGTTTAATGGCCACAAGATTCAATACATACTGATGTTGCTGCTGTTGCTGCTGCTGTTGCTGCTGCTGTTGCTGCTGCTGCTGTTGCTGCTGCTGTTGCTGCTGCTGTTGCTGCTACTGCTGTTGCTGCTGCTGTCCATTAAGTGCTGCATCTGCTGCTCGGTGTTGTTGATGTGGCGAATGGCTCAGAGTTCAGGTGTCAGGTGTCAGGAGCGAGTTTAGTAGCTGTTGTGTCAGTGACATGTCGCTCAGTGTTCAGTTATCCGGCTTTTGGTTACGGTTTCTGGTTAGCTTCAGATGGATGCACATACAGACACAGACACAAACTCTGCTTTTAGCCTGGCTAGCTAGGATGCAGCTGCTGCTCGGCGTCCGTGCTCGTCTATGGCAGGCGTGGATGGATTCATGGCGGATGGAGGAGCGGGTTGGTTGGAGAGTTTAATGGTGTCATTGGTGGTAGTGTGCTTTTAGAGTGTTTTCTTTTTGGTTTTATCGGACAGGGTTATTAATCGAATTTTGGTTCATATTGTTTGATTTTTTAACGAATGTAAGTGTGTGTCGAATAGTTGTGTTTGCGTTGTTTCGTTTTATTTTTGATTTGATTTGGATTTTAGTTAGCATGTAAAGAGAGAGATTCATAGAAGTGGAAATAGAGTTTTGATTAATACTTCGTGGTTAGCAGTTAGTCTTCATGTCCTAAGTTCTATGTTATGCGAGTTAAGAGCGCAAAAAGTTACTAGATAATGGCTGCAAAGAACGCATTTTAATTAGTAAACTCACATGATCAGTGGGGGGCACAAAGACATGCTTTTGATTAAAACTTAGTAACTTTTTGCTGGCGACTGCCAAGCGCATCCATTAATCAAGGAATGCGGTCAACAGCGTGGAGTTTATATATAAATAGTAAAGACAAACACATACATTATTATCATTAGAGGCTTTCATCGACAGGAAATTAATTTAAATTATATAATTATATAGAAAAGTTGTAGATAGTGCGAATATATATATATAATTTTTTGTGTCGTTATTTGATGCAACATTTGATGGTTATTAAAGTTGGTTCTCTGATTTTAATTTACACAAGAACATGAGAGTTTTCCTTTTTCAGATTAATTCATTTTTTACTAGTTTTCTTTTGTTTGTTTTTGGTTAACTTGGCCTTTGGTTAGTTATAATTAGCAATAGTATTACATCACATTTTTTTTTTTTTTTTGGTCTATCAATAATTTTGTTTCAACCCGTTTAATGGTTTTAATATGCTATTTATAAGATTTATCACATTATATAATTAGGGGGAAATTAAATTAAACAAAGAGATTACATCAAATTGCAGGTGCATAAGCTCTCAAGGCAGAGTGTGGGCTCAAAATACACTGATTTCTTTTTTACAAATGTCCAAAGATAGTAATTATATTTTAACAAAAGCGTTATTTACATGTTCTTTCCTTGTATCAATCAACAAAAGGTTAATTATTATATTTTTTCTGCGTTCATTTCACGCTGTTTTAGTGGTTTAATTAATTGATTTTCGGTTTAAGTGAATTTAGTTGACATTGTCACTAATGAGTTCATTAATTAAACATTGAAAACTTTGAATCTAACATTATTATTGTTAACATCTTTTCAGATACTTGAAGAATAAAAAGATAGAGGTTTTCCTACATATTTCATGTTTGAAGCAGATGCAATTTCATGGATTGGATAGGAGTTATACAAGTTATGAGTCATTAACTAGACTAGTCTCTAGGAGTTTAATTAATCATAGACAGGAATATATATATATGTATATATTACTGAAATACCGCAACCCATAAGCTTAAGTATATTAAGGTGGTCAGTACACATAGACACATGTATCAGATATGCAGATATATATGCTTCATGGCATTTATGGTGGTTTCTTGCTGGTAGTAGTAATAGGTTGATCTTGCTCGTCGGTGGGATTAATGTTCAATCGAGGAGGAGGAGGAGGTGGTAAGCATAGAGTTATGCCCGAAGGACGTGTGTGTGTGTGTATGTGTAGGTGTGGGTGGTGGGTGGGTGAGGATATTACGGTTCAGATGGTGTCTAACGTTAAGTTGTCTTAGTTACTAGAGTTGCAAACAAAGTGAAGTGTTTTATTATTCATTATTATTATTATTTCTGATCAATGAGTTATGTGTGACGATTGAATTCGAGAAATATTGGATTTATTTCATTTCGGTTTTAGTTCGGAAAGCGTTAGATTCTGGTTGAAATTTTTGTAGAACCATATTGAAGGTTAATATTCTGGAAGAAGTCGAGTTCATAGAACAATAAAGAATCACAAGTCTCGGTACGGATTTTGTTTTGTTTTTGTTTTTGCTTTTTGTTGTTTGATTTTTTTTTTCGTTTTTTGTTTTTTTCTTCAACAAAAATCATTGATCTTTATTTCTTTGTGGTACACTTTCGGTTCAATTGCAACATTTACACTCGAACGCATAATACAAAATAATTATATAATCTTAATGGACTAAACAGGGGACTTATTCCTAGGATACACATGTAAAATTCATATCTTTTCTTTAAATATGATATATGGCTTATCCGAGAGTAATAATACAAATAAAAAACTACTAAAATGTTTCAAGTTTCATGATTTTTTTGTTTTGTTCGCTTTTTGTTTTTCAAATTTTTTTCTTCTTTTTTTATCGAGTTTATGTAAAACATCAAAGGCACAAGTCAACGTGTAAACAAAGGAAAAATAATATAAAAAATTGGTGTATAAATATATATAGAGATTGGTATAAAAAGAAAATAATCAACTTTTCATATGAAAGATTTTGCATGTGTCTGTACTTTTCATTTATCAAAATTCTGTTTGCTTGTTGTTTCAGAACTCGCAGTCTCGCGGAAACCAACTGCAACTGGGCCAAAACCCATTTGCATTTCGTTCCGGATAGAGATAACACATAAGGTAAATAATAATAGTTTGGTAAAAATAAATAAAAGAGTAGAAACACGACTAACCTGTGGAGGCGGTGCGGCGCTTGACAATTCTTTTCGAACTCTGATCAGGGCAGAGCGGCCTGGCCTGGCCAACAAATCCGGTCAGATTTCATCGATGATACAGTGCATTTCGTTTGTTATTTAATTTAATTTTAAGAGCAGCAGACTTTAAATAAATTAGGGGACTGAAGTTGACATAATTGAACTAAATTTTAAATCTCGGGGGGCAGATGACCCGCCAAAACGTTTGCTTTAACGACAATTATTGATAGAAAGTTCTCTTTCAAGTTGATGATGATTATTATTCTTTAAAAAATAAAAGGGGGAAGGGCTGGCTCTCTGATCTGATAGGTTTCTCCTGCTGATGTTTTACTGTATCTCAATGAAACCCGCCGGCTTGGCTGGCACTCCGACCGTTGCTCGCTGATAGGGATGTTCTCTGTTAGCCGCCAAACGACGCTGCTGCTTAATGGCGCCTACTAAAATATACGATACGATACATGTAGATATGGTTTGTATATAGGCATATATCGGTTATATATAGATATATATGTTTAAATAATGTGAACATTATGTTCGCTACAAGATACGTCTTAGGGGCTAGTAGATATTTCATACATCGTCCTTAGAGATACAATATGCTTGCTCAAACTGAAGCTTGCCTGCTGCTGGAACTTTTGCCTACAAGCCAACACAATTGCCAACTGACGGGGGAAAATCATCTTCACCTGTTCGTACTTCACCTTCACTTTGTAACATTTAAATTCTCTGCTTCTTTGGAATGAGTCGTTTATGTTTATGTGCGTGTTGTGGGTCACTATGCATTCGATATATGTTATATAGTAATTGGTTCTGGTTCAGAGGTGGCCACAAAATAAGTGATTTTCAAGCCGCTTAGCCTAGACCTAGCAGGATTACGTTCTAGACAAGATTGATTGTGATTGTGTTTACCATTGTTCCTCAAGCAATTTGATCTCCCAGCTTGCTGACTAGTCGTGCATTCAATGTCTGTTCCTGGACGGCTGCCGGAGAGCCTCAACCACATAACTTAGATGTATTTCAAATAACTAATTAAGCACCAACTCGATTCAAGGCTCCTTTCCGTTCCCAAGATTTACCCTATTCTGAAGAACGGTCCCCATTCTCTGCAAAATATGTGGTTTGTTTTTTGTTTTTGACGAGAAATGGCACTGGATGGAAAAATTGAAACGGACTTCCTATCTCTCTAAATATGTGTGTATGTGTAAGGTACATTTGTGCATAAATACTGTCCCCCCCTGTTGCAAACACTCACTAAAATAACTACATAGATACAAACAAACAAACAAATAAAAAAATATATATAATACAAATCTAAATTGCACTTAACACTCGACCCTCATACCGGAAAAACTTACAAGAAGATTAAGGGAAAGTATTGAATCGATTAACTCAGCAACTGAAAGCTGAAAGTTTAGCCCTCTTTAATTTGAATACTCATGGGTTCCAAAAACGAAAATCAACAACTTGCTTTGGTTGCCGCTGCCCTCGTTGTTGTTCTCAACTAGAATATACTCATTTAAAAACGTGTATGGGGGGGGGGAATTACAGAAACTTTAAGTTAGAATTAAAGTTAAGATTAAAAAAGCAACTACTAATTAAGGGCCTAAAAATCACTTATTTTTGCCAAATATTGCATATTGCACACCTATGTATATTGCCACCTATCAACTACAGATGATGAATATTGCAATTAAATTCATTGGCGAGCAGTAAATATTATTTTCTGTTCGAGTATTTTTCTTTTTCTGTTCTTATTTGTTGCTTTGTGCCGTTTTACTCTTATGGTTTTGTCTCTAAGTTAATATAAAATTGTGTATATATATATACAGTCTATACATTCATTTGCGTGTGTGTGTATATATCTTTTTTGTTTCAGTGTGACTGTAACTTTAAGCTAAACAATTGTTTAAATGGAGTTTTCTTTTCTCTATATTTAGTTTCTGCATTTGTTGTTGGTTTTGTCAGGGGGAAAATAATAGAGAGTGAGAGAGAGAGAAGTTCAAAAGACGGAGCCGGCATGCATATATCGACCAACTGTAAATATTTATGTTTATAACAAATAAATAATATAAATAGAGAATTCGTTTCAAGAGGCGGATAAAATCAATGAGTTGGTTTTTTAAGTCTGTTAGCTCTGGTTGTTAAATTAAATTAGAATAATTGTGAATTATTATTGTTGTTGCTGGAAAGCGAACAAGCCAAGGCAACAGTAAGGGTTAAGAAGCGTGCGTTTCGGCTGACAGATTTTTTAAAGCATACTTTATGGCACTGGACGTAAATAATAAGTGTGTGTTAGCTTCATGTAAAATACATGGAGCAATGGGCGTGCTGCAGTCCATCAAATTACTCGAATTCAATCACTGCATCATCGTCCAGCCTCCAGCTCTTGTAGCCTGCTACAACTTAGCTACTAACAACAGAAAAATAAATGCAAGCTCTATCTCATCAGTATAAAATGCAGATTCTATATCAAAACAATTAACAAAAACAAATAATAAAAACAAAGGGCATTAAATAGGTGTATATAAAGAGAAGAAAATATAATACTATATGCTGGCTGCTAGACTGTATTTAGCAAACTCAATCGATTGCACTTGGTTAATGTGTTAAGAGGAAAGACAAATGCCTGGCCATCATGGCGTATGCGCAATGTGTCAGATATGTGTGTTTCTGTGTGTTAAATGGTGTGTGCTCGTCTGGCGATATGCTTGTGTTATATTGCTCGCAATTTAACTCGCAGCTAAACCCCTGACTTTTGTATATCTAATTGACTGATTGACTGACTGATTGACTAACTGACTGTTCTGCCTACATCGTTTGATGGATGATTCGCTTAGTGTGTGGTGTGTGGTTTGTGCAAAATCATAATCGAAATCAATATAGATATAGTAGAGATAGCGATGGAACAATGTGATTGATTGGGTAAGTGTGTGATTCAGAGAGAGTGAGATATTTTTGAAGATAGAATCCAGATTATCTGGCAAACAACCCACCGCTATGATCTGCATATTCCGTGAGCAGAGGATTGCCGGCGAGGGCGGCATAGTTCGCATAGTCGCCATATGGGGCGAATATCATTCCATGGCCGGTCTGGTCAAAGGCGGCAGTCGGGGCTGCCTGGGCGGACAATATGCTGGCCGCCGTGGTCGGGACGGTCATCCGGGGATTCAGGATCAATGGGGCGCCCAGCGGGGCGGTGGCGGGAGCACGGATCTGGGCGGCAAGGCCGGGCAGGCCGGCGGGCGTCAGCAGGCGGCTGTCCGAGGCTGCCATCAGGCGGCGCCAGTCCTCATCGCACACTGCGGGATACAGATAAGAAGCAGAGCCAACGCATGAAAAAGCTGGTCGTCGTACACATAAACCAAATACGAAATAAGAAAAATATAGATCGAATTGAAATCAGTCTCGGTGTCGTTAACATTTCAGCGGCAAATCGTTAATGGTTAGATTTTGTTTTCGCTCAGGATGTGGGCTACATTCTCGATTAGCTGGTAAGATGGTAGTTCTCGTTATTATCATTGTTTAATCTGGTTGACTGAAGATCGGGTTAGCTTTTCATAGATAGATATATGTATATATATAGAGATAGGGAGAGAGACTGTGGGTTGACATACCTGCGACAGATTTCGCTGTTGTGTCCCTATAAGTGCCATTAATAATCGCCAATTCCATAAGTTGACGTTTCTTTAGCTCGTCTTCGCCTTCGGCTTGCTGTTAGTACAAGTATGTGTGTGTTTTGTTGTGTTTTTTGTTTGGTTTTAATGTATTAAACGGAATACATTAAAGCAGCATTAGATTGTTTGGTAAGAGAGAGAATGAGAAATAAATAAGAGAATTCATTAATATATTGGTTAACATTCAATTCAGAGATTAAGCTTCGAAATTTAATTTTACATTAAATACAATTATTATTATTATTAATATTATTATTACAAAGTTTTTTTGGGGAAGAAAGGCAGAGGGACTCTCGCATTTAATGTTCTCCCTTTTGTTTCATTTGGTTTTACTTTAAGCATTTCGCGGGCGTATTATTATTAATTATCTTTATTAAGCCTCCCCCACACTGCGTATACGCAATGTGGCGATATCAGTTTACTTTCAGCTTGTTTTTTAAGGACGCTGCCTTCTTTGGGGGAACTTTTTTGTAACTTTTTTTAGAGGCACTCACCGGCACAAGCAGCTTTTGAACTTCGGCAACAGCCTGGGCCAGCTTGACCTTGGCCCGGTTCTCGGTGTCCTCGACGGTTATCAAAACATGCAGGTCATCGGACAGGTGCTCCCAGTTGGGTTTGCCACGGTTGGCATCCTCCTGAGAAAAGAAAAGGGAAACAGGATTACATTAAATTTGAGATTATTAATTGAAATTGTTTGCTTCTAAAAATATCTCAAATATATTGTGCAATGTCTTAATTTAGCTTTGACCTTATTTTAAATTAATCACAAATTCCTGTTACAGTTTGTGGAAAAGCATTCCGCAATACAAAAATGCACATTATCGTTTATTGCAAATTCCATTCTTATTATTTGGTATGCAGAATGATTCTCCTCCTCCTTAATGCACTCATAAATAAACTATTTGAAAATGTTTTAAATGGAAATTGTGCTAATGGGCGCAAACAATAAATACGAAATAGTGGGCAAAGTGTTATTGCAATTTCTTTGCGAATTTCTTTTGGCGTACGTGCAGGAAATATAGTAAATAAGTTTCTCCTTCTCCGCCATGACTCTTGATTTAGTAATCAATTAGGATCAAATTGGATAGAAATTCTTTTGAAGAAGTCCATCCAGCGCTTATTCTGCGTCAAATTAAGAACTGTCAACTGTTGGCCTCTGCAAATGCTGGCAAAAAGTTTTATCATTTTGGCTCAAAGAAACGGTGAAAGAGAATATATATTGTACGTTATATATATATTTGTAGAAAGAGAGATAGTGAGTGGGGTGTCACCCAAGACAGACTATGCACTATGACTAATTTCATCCTCGGATTTTCGGGTCTATTTCTAACCAAGAGATGCAAGTAAACAGAACATTTCTATTCTTCGTTTTGTGCCACAGTCGAAGAGGATGCGAATCTTTTTGGCCGGCGATGAGTCAGACAATTGTGTGGGCGTCTCTCCTCCCGCTTTATTCTCTTGAATTATCAAAATATTGCAGAAAATTTCCCAATTTTGAAAACTCTCCCGACTGTCTGTTCTATCTGTCTGTCTGTCTGACGCTCATTTGGCCCGCCACATTTATGAATTACGAAAATACTTTTAATCGCCTCTAGACACTCGTTTCATTTTTCCCTCTGTTTCGTTTCCTTTTATTTTTTGACTTGCTTTTTTTCGTCAGGGGAAATTAAATCATCAGAGCATTGTGAGTGACAAGATATATGCATATTAATATATGTATAGCGAAATAAGTGAGAGTGCTTTTTGCGGGATAGCTAAAGACGAGCAGTTACCCTCTTAAAATGTATCAGCAGTAATATTGTATAATTATTTCGGATAATATATATTCATTCTCCGTCAGAAATATAAATTAAAACCTAATTACTTGTTTGTTTTTAAGGATATAAACCGAATTTTATACTTTTGCAACAATAATAATCATTCAGCGTAACAAAGAGAGGGGCACATTTTCGCCTTATAATTGAGAATAATTCCCATTTGGCACGGAAACCGACTGTCAACAGAATTTTCATATGCACACGCGTACAATATTCGCCGGCGGCACTATTTACGATAATTAAAATTGAAATTGAAGTGCTCGGCTAATGGCTGAAAGTCTTTGGAATGTGCACAGAAATGTGTGCGGCACTAATGGCTCTTTTCCTGCCGATTTTCAATACCATTGGGATTTATTCAGTTAACACTACAATTGCTCGGCACTCACCTTCTTCTTGTCGCGCATGGATCCCTTGCCGCGGACCATGATCTTGCAGCCGGTCTCCTGCTCCAATTGCTTGGCCGTCATGCCACGAGGTCCCAAAATGCGACCGACAAAGTTGAACTGGAATGGTAATGAAATGGGAAATGGAGATACATACAAATTAGACGATGGTCGAAATTAGAGGAAATCATTAGCGAATCAACGAGATCTAATTAACTGGCTAACTTGTTGGGGGCTTGCTTGCCAAATTTAAAACGCATTAGATCGGATCCATGACTCAGGGGATGCATAAATGCCAAAGCCAGCTCCGTTCAGCCTCGGAATTATGATTGAAGCGTATGACGCTGGTCAGCCACGGTTCGTTGAAGGCTGGAGCCACCCACAGCATTTGGGCGCACCAAAACAACAAGCCAAGCGAAATCTGACCCGAGGCGACACGCCTGAATTTGGCACGATAAACCAATCAGCCAGATAGACACACAGGCTCTTGTTGTGCATAAAGCCAAATGCAGTCAGTCAGTCAGTCAAACGATCGATTTGGTGCTTTTATACAGTAATAAATTGGGGAAAATTACATTTCAAATTTATGGAAGGCTCCTTTTCTAATAAAAAGCATGGATTTATAGGTAGAAGGAGTAAATAGAATATTTAAAAGTAAACAAGTTTTACAGATATTGCAAGACTAAGATAAACAATCTTATACCCAAATAACATAATGATTTATTATTTTAGGTTATCTAGCTATAAATTCCTTATTACAAACTTGAATAACTTCTAATTCACTTGAAAACTAACTAACTTACAAATAAACTAGAGCTGTGCAAACATCGGTTACACTATCGATAATATCAATGGAAGGACTTTCAGCGGTACTATCGAAGCTTTTCAACTATCACGATATAATCGAAAAACAATCGTTTAATCGTTAAGTACATAGTTTTATTTCCTTGCTTTTTCTTGTGCTAGTCATAAAGTAAAAATAAAAGTAACACAAAGAAAATAGACAGAGAATATACATAACTTGATTTTTAGTTTATGTCATTATATTTATTAATTTAATAAAAACAAAGAAAGTTTTAATTCTAAGCGAATTCGTTTTTACTTTTCAAATTAAAGAATATTCTTTTCATCTTGGAGCGATAGTATTGTGATCGTATCGATGTATTTACAGCTTTACAACTATTTTATTTTTTCAATATATAAAATATATACTTTTAAAGTCATTTTCTTATGGAGAGATACTATTCTTTTATTCTTTTAAAATTAAAGAGTATTCTTTTAAAGCTCTTTTCTTAAGGAGTGATAGTATCGTGAAAGTATCGATGTATTTACGGCTCTACAACTAACCAATGTTAATATATGTATTTATATCTCAAAAAATCGTATTTATTGCTTATTTTTCCAGTGTACAGCAGCGGCGACATTCAAAAGAATTTTGCCCAAACTATTAGCGGAGCGTGCAAAAATCTTTTGACGCGCTTGTCGATGATTTCGATGATGATGATGATGATGGACGTGCAACAAGATTTGCAAGCCCAACTCCGATGTGGTGACCCCAACTTAAAAAGCTGCCGTGGCGCCCAATTATCATATACTTTAGCTGGTAGATATACACAGATTGCAACAACTGCCTCGGGTGCCTGCCGATAAATTAGATTTATTGGCCAGATCACAACAATTTCCATGTGAGTTATTGTAAATTGCCGGCTAAACTAGTTCTGGTCCCCGCCCCGGGTACTCGGGTACCCACCCACCCACACACATCTCCCATCTAGGGGAACCTCTATTCCGAATGCGATGATGTGATGGGCTCTGAGATACGGAGATGTTAAGTGCACACACACACTCAGTGATCGAGTGAGTGTGTTTGAAGCGATGCGATCATCGACAGCCGCCGGCAGTTAGCCAAAGTAGCAGCAGCAGCAGCAGCTGTTGTCAGTCCGAATGTATCGGTATCTGAAGGCCTGAATCTGCAACTGCAACTGCAATTGCAACTGCAGCAGCAGCAGCAGCAGCAACAGCAGCTACAGCAGCAACTGCCACTGATGAGATCGAATCAATTGAAAATTGCCGCAAAGAATGCAGTTAATGCCTAATGGCTCCGGCAATTTTAATTAAATTTTGCGAAAAAATCATTTAAAGTGCCTCTCGCTCAGCCTCCATTTAAGTCCACAAAATGCGAGAAAGTTGGTAGACCCAAAAGAAAAAAATAAATATGTTGCAGCAACGCTTCCACAAAATGAGATACGCAAGCAAAGACAACATTTGCATTGCGTATCAGTTGCTTAATTAAAAATCCCTGGCTCTGGCTCAATGTTTACACAAATGATCTTCTTCCATTTGCCATTAAAAGGAAATTAAAATCCAAGCGTTTCCCTTTAAAAGGTTTCACATACGACGCGTTCAACAAACATCAGTTCAAATAAAGAATAAAAGGCAAACACAAGTGGCCAGATAAATTATATGTGATTGCGCTTAAAGGGCTTCTTGAGCTTATTTCATTAGAGAGAATAAACTATATACATTTAAGCAATAGTGTGACAAGTAATGTTGAAAACTCTATAATCAAATCTAAATATTAATTGTATTACGCAAAGCAAAAACACATTCTCGATTTATTTTCTTTTCCATGTAAAAGCTATTTATAAATTTATAAGAACAACCCACACAACAATATATAAATTTAATGGCATAATAAGCAAACCTTTAAGGCAATTTGTAACTTCGATGCTTACAAAACTTACACAATGCAAATGTATTATTAGATTTTTCCAACAATGAAACCCTTTTCCTTTTCTTCCCTTTTTTTGTCCGATATATCCAGCAATTACGCGTTTTTAAGTAGAAAGCGTGCCTCTAAGACATTCAACGACACCGAAAATAACAACATGTCTTAATTAATTGTTTTAAAAAAGAAGAAGTACCTCTGTTCTTTAAATATTTTCTAATATTTTTAATCATTTCATACTAAAGTCTAAAATTATGAGAAATTATATTTGTTCCTATTATTTTAAATGTAATTTCCACATTTTAAAAACAACACAGATATAGTTTTTTTGCATGTAACAACAATAAGCAAACTGTTTCGAACTTTGGGTCTATAGTATTTTCCAGTATTGACCTTTTTGCCGGCGGTACTTGAGCTGAACTTGTAAACAGACAAAAGGCAGATGGACACGGGAGCTGGAAGCTGGAAGCTGTTAGTGAAGTGGAGTGGAGTGGAGCCAAGTGAAGTGAAGCGGACAGACAAATAATGCTGTTCAGTGTACTCATATAGTATTCGTGAGTGTTGTGCTCTTTTGAGAGAGCTTTATTATACAGATTGTGAGCTCAGATAGGGCAGGCGAGAAAGGAAAATATATATATATTTAATATTTATACAATTCCGTACTACAGTCATTTTCAATAAGGCAAAGGTACAGACAATTGATAAGGGAACTGCGTCGCACACACAAAGGGCACATGGCAAGGCACCACCTCTTGCCGAAAATACTGAAAGGGAGTGTACTAAACAAACACGCGGAGCTGTGATAAGGAAGCCCCCAGCATCATGCCACACAGCATCCCAGGGTGACCATGACAACCGACCAAAGTCAGTTGATATCAAATTAAAGGCACAAAGGTGCTGCTCTGCCAGAAGTTTTCATTCAAAAACCACACACACAGACACACAAAGGGAATATTCGATAATTTCCCCTCAAAAGGTGCGGGGAAAAACATTACATTTTACTTTATAGTTCTCAGATTCTGCTCAGATTTAATCGCGTTGCCAGTGTGACTCTAGGAATTTTACGAATCTTTTCAATCGAGCCGCTCGCTAGTGAGTTGAAAAGCACAAAATGCATAAGCATCCAAGGCAGGGGTCGGCATAGATCAAATAGATTACTGCTCGCTCGGTTACTACCAGTACTATATGCCGTACTGAGCGGAACACTTTGGCACACATAATTACTCGGCGACTGTGGAATACAAAAAGCTCGTCTATTACACGGAAAAATAAATCAAACTTTGACATGACAAACAACAGCAGCAGCAGCATCAGCGGCGAATTTAACTAGAAAATAATGTTTGCCACAAAATTCGTAGAGTTTAAGCCCGGGATCCGCACCTATTAAAGTGGTGAACAACCGAAAATGTACATAAAAATTGCACGTAATTAGCATTTCAATGTTTATGACTAATTTGCTGCAGTTTGTAGATTAATTGGCTTTTGTGTTAACGGCTTAGACAATAAACAAAAGGCAACATTAAGTGATTTGGGGAGAGGAACAAATGGGATGTTGGCTCTATGTGTTGGCTGTAATTTGGCTTAAATGTGGTTGATCGATATGTTTAATGTCGGCCAAAGACAGCCGAATGAATGACCTTAACACGATTCGAATATCAAGTGGCTCCCAACTGTTGATCTGTTGATCTGTGTGGGTGTGACCGCAGAGCATTAATCAGCGGGAAAGGGAATTTAATGAACTCAATGGGATCGATTAACAATTGTTTAATTAATGGTAAAGCAGAAAAGTCGGGTGAATTATCCTCTATCAACTACAATTTGATTTTATGTTTCACATTATTTGTCAAGTTGTAAAGAACTATAAGCCAGTATGACGACATATATGTAGTAAGTAAACTTCCAATTGAGTTGCCTCACCATGAAAATATTTCCCCTCGTATATCGCATCTAATTGTTCTTCTTCCATATGTTTAGCTTCAAATGATTAAATTTAACCATCGGAAAATGAGTTTGCGAAAATATATAAAATGTCAAACATCATTTCTGTTTTGCTGAGAGCGAAATCACTCACAGAAGCTGACTGACTGGACTCAGTGGGTCAACATGTCGTATGCCGCATGTCGCATGTCGCGCCACGGGGCGTATGAGCAATGAGCGTTGACAGGGAACATGGGAAAGAACGAGACAGAATGGCGATATATATATACATATATATCTATATAGAGGACAGATGAGACTTTGGAGCGTTAATAGTTGGCTGTAATTAATTGTAAACTGTTTTAATGCCTTGCCCGCTGTCGTCCATCGCTTGTAGACTTTAATTAAGTTGCATTTATGTTTTGGAGCAGCCGGAGAAACGAGATTCAAAGAGATGGATATCGCCGTCTGACGCTCCCTGGGATCTCCTCTGCATTTGGAGTCGGGTTGACAAATCGCTGACCATTTAAATGGCATATTGTTGCAGCACGGCTGTCAGCCAGCTGACAAATCTCTATTTACATTGTTGAATACGGTAGAAATTATTAACTGCTATTATTATTTGCGACTGCCAGCGAGTGAGTGTCTGGCCTAATGCCTTGAAATTTATGCCCCATGACGCGGCACACTGCCGTGGCCCGAAACCAATAAACATTTTGCCCAAAACTTGTTGCACTTCCATGTTATTTGAAACGCAATTTATCTTGCTTAAACACATTCTCTTAAAAATTCGACTGGCAGCCGTCGGATAATGTTAGAATTTCCCATGCCAATTTCTAGTTATTGCAGCTCTTGTCCGCCCGAAATGATTGCAATTAAATGAGATGATTTACGACAAAACAACGCTCGAGAAACGCCTACACACAAAAAAAAAAAGAAAAAAAAAACAGCTAAGGGGAACAAATTTCCACCCGCGATGCCTTAAAATAAGACAGATTGGAACACCTGAATATATTGGAAATTTAGGCGGTAAGATCTACGGCCCTCGGATCGTAAATCTCTGAGAAGATCTGTGCCAGTTTTCGGTTGGAAAACATCGAAAGTCAAAGCAAGCAAACATCATCATCAAACGCTGTTTCAGTCGGCACATTGCTTGTTTCTATAAATTATGTAGCCTATGTTCTTTTTTTAATTTATAGCCCCAACTCATTCATATTCATTTCGCTTGGGGTCTAGGCCTAATAAAGTCCAATTTAATGTTAATGTTGTTTCGACTGACTGCCCATTCGCATGTTATCTGTTTTACCCTCTTGAGAGTCCGAATATTTGTTTTATGCAACGGCCCTAAAGGTAATTAATTAAATGGCACATGTGCAAAATAGCAAAAGATTCAACTAAAATGGGTTCCATAACCCCAGCAATAGATGCTGACTTGGCAAATTATCATATTTGTCTGGCTCAGTGGCTCAAGAAATATATTAATCTTCTTTAGAACTTTGAGCGTAAGGTAAAATCATTAAGTAGCATTTGTTTTGAAATAAATCTTGAAATAGAGACAGTTAAAATGTGTTAAATATTTTAGCGAAATCATTTATACTCTTGCAAAGGGTATAATGATTTTGCTTCGTGGAAGAGTATAAATATATTCGTAATCATTAACAACAGCCATATAACTTTTTAATTTACTCACAGATATGGCAATTTGTAATTACAAAAATTTTACATGGTACTTAAAAATGTTTATCTACAACATACTAGACAAGGGTCCTTCGAGCCGGACAGTCCTAATGCTTTTTTTATGTCTACACCTATAGTGGTTTAATCTACCACCATACGATCAATATTACATAAATTATTTCTTTCAAAATCAATAACAGTTGCAATTGGTAATTCGTTAATTTTAAGTTACAAAGCTTCCTTTCTCGATTGTTTTAATATTTTCGGGTGAATATTTTCAAGTAGAAGAATCTTCACCTCTTCCATAAAATCCCATTGTATGCAATGTTTTTATTCCGAATTTTAAGACAATATCTAAGCCGATTTACAATCATTTAATTCCACATTATTTGATTGGGGCATCGTCCCCATCCTATCGCCCTGAACTGGCGCCATTTGGCAAAGAAAATTATTTGAACAGCTGCTGAACAGAAGCCACACCAATGGAGACACCATCGACAGAGGGCGAAATGCTTTCCGAGTATAATTAATGCTATTTAAATTTATGCATCTATCTGGATCACAACCAAGAGAGCAAAAAAAAAAACGAAGCAAAAACATAAACATCAAGAGCAAAGTGTGTCATGCAGTTAAATAAATTTCCTCAGTTCCGCCACTACTGCGACTGCTGTCAGGCCATAAATATAACAAAAATGAAACTACGCCCAAACAATTTCCAAATTAACTGAAAAGGCATAACAAAACTAAAGAAAAACAAAACAAACATACATGTCTGAGATAGCGGAGAGCGCAGAGCGGCGGACGGGGAGTAAAACATTTTAAATTGCATAAAATTAAATCAAATTCTAATGTGGCAGGGCTTGGCCCGAGTGACTTGCTCCGACGCCTACAATGGACGACAAATGAAACGAATGAACGCCGTCAAACGACTTCCTAAAACGCTTCAATGATTCCGTCTACCCCAAATATATATATATCTGAATCTGAATCTGAATCTGAATCTGTATCTGTATCTGCTATATCTGTCTATCTCTATATATGGGGAGAGTGGAAGGATGGATCGGAGCTTTGCATTTGGCATCTTGCTGGGGCGTTCGTTGGCCCGTCTTACCGCTGTCTTACCAAGACAGCGTAACAGATGACTGACTCTATCGGGCACAAGAAGATACACCTCGGCAAATAGCTGAGCGGGCAGGGCACACCTTTAAGCCATTTCCGGTGTAGCCCAGTTGCTCACTGAGCGCGAGTTGTCAATTCTAATTGACGGGAAGCCCGTGCCCTCCTCGATCCCGATCCGAACCAATACGCAAAAATTAGATCATCGTTATCATTATGCTACAAACTAGAAGCCACACTCACATCTGGATGTTCACGGACTGGCACATAGACCTTCTCGTTCATCGTCACCACAGCGCCCTCGGGGTCGGGCAGGGTCAGCGGCTCCTTCTTAACCCCATTGATCTGGAACAGAGAGGCGCGCACGCGTGCAATTTCTGGAAAGATTCAAATAAAGGATAAGGATTAATACAAGTTCGGGAATTAAAAGCATTATTTACTTTATCCTAAGTGATTTGATGTCACAATTATTTGTATTTTATTTTATTTTAAATAATCATTCAAAATCGACACTTCCAGCAGCTTGTATTTAACGCTGAACGCAATAATTCACAGTTGAAAAGCAAATAAACAAAGCGTTGATAATTTTAATTGCCAGCTCTTTGCCTCCACTTCAGTCGAGTGGGGGTTTCAATTTGTCATTTTTGCTAAGTGCTTGTATTAAATTACGTTTAATTTGCCTCTGGAAAACCTACTAAATTAGCATCAATAAATCGGAGTGTGAATATGTTTACTTAGTTATTGCTTAGTAGCCTTCTATTTATAATTTATTGGGTTTGATCCATGAAATCACTTGAATCACTTGGTTTATATATAAACAAATTATGCCATCCTAGTGTGAGGATTGAAACTTTTTCCCATTCTTTAGCCTGAGGTCAGCAATTCACACTCTTGGTGTTTTCCATGGCGGGTGTTGTTCCGATCAACCCAACCCCCAACTGTGCCAGTTGACAGGGGCTTTCGAATTGATATGATCAACATTTTGCTGCTGTTGCTGCTGCTGCTGTTTAGTTTTTGCATAAGCTCAATTGCATTGTTTGTCTTTGGCATGTGCTTTGACAATTTGTCACTAAAAGTGGGTAATTGTGCTGGGAGGGCGGTGAATGGTGACTGCATCGTATGTCACTGAAATGATTTAAGAATTTGCCACCGAATGACATCAAATTAAATGCCTGACTTCTCTCACTAAATGCCACCCATTTAACCGTCTCCTATCTGATTTCTTTGACAATGTATGCGAGACTGTTGTCATCAGAATATTTAGAAATACATTTTATGAGCTTAAAATAAATGTAATTTCAAGATGTATCAACATGTGATGGGAATACAAAAAGTACTGTCAACTGCAACAGATTTTTCAGTTAAATATTATAACAAATCAATTTAAGACACATTTATGGGTAATAATATATTTGAATATATATATAGACTGTTTTAAAAGAATGCATAGATATTTTTCTCATGGAAAAACCGTCACATTTACTTATCAAAGACCCTGTCCGAGTTTCTTGACCTGTTAAATGCCAAGAATATTTGTATATTTACCGAAAAAACATCTTGTTTGATTTAAATTTGGCGTTTAAATTAATTATGTTTGATATTTTTATCTAGGCGGATTCTGGCAAAAATTTTCATATTTATTCACCGGCTTTCTCTGTGTGCCACATAAATAAAATGATATAAAAAAAATCTGCGCAGCCAACGCAAACAAAGAAGGCGAAAAAGAAATTGCACAAAATTTAAATTTACTTTTCCGCGCAGCGGTGAGAAAAAAGAAAAGAAAACGCTCTATCCGCCATTCCAGAGTTCATTGCGGGCCAAAGAACCCATAAAGAAAATGCCAAAGACGAGTCTGAAAGCGGCACAGCGGTCCGTCACTTGACTCGATTATTGATAGAGATGGAGACGAGATTTTATATTTTCCCCCCTCGACAACTAATTAAGAGCAGCTCCAGAAAGGCTTTTCATTTGTTTCCCCATTTTCGTGTAATTTGTTGCGACACGCAACTAGAACGGATATGTATTCCATCATCGCCGTTTGGGTTCTGAGCCAAGAGCCAAGAATCGAGAGCCATGAGCCATGAGGCATAATCGCAATCATGACAGCTGTCAATTTTAATCGACCGAGTGTCAATCCGCATCCACATCCATTCAATCTGCAACGTGACCGATGTGTGGCAGTGGCACGAAGATTGTGCAGCCAGATTAGATGAATAAGCCCCGCCAAATTGGTGTAAAATTGCATTTGCATACAGGGTAGAGAGAGCGAGGCGATGACGGAGTCTCGAGTCATTGAATCGAATTAGTCACTTCTGGGGCCAAGTCAGATGGATTGATAGCGGCATTTAGATAAATTACAATAATCAAGTTCATGCGCAGGCGGCTTAATTAATGGCAGCTTAGTCGAAGCCGGTGCTGAGCCTAGAGTCTATAATTAAGTTCCCAACTCATTCCAGAGCCCAAAGCCCACCACCTGTTGCCAACTGACCATTTTAGGGCATGCGGCAGAACATAACTCAGTGGAAGTGGGCGGGGAGAACGAGAGCAGTGCCAATCTAATAATTATCAATGAAAGATCTTTTTATTCATTAACAAGTCGCGAGTCGTTTGCTCTTTTAAGGCAACACTGAAAAACTCGATTCGCCATCTTTTCCCCAGTTCGTTTTCGCTCCGCGACTCGACTCATAATTTACATAGACAGAGCGCTTATGACTCTATCTCCTCCATCTCTTGGCCAAGTCGCGGACTTCACTCTATATATGGCTAGGGACAGAGCTTCCAAATTTGGCACCCAGCGCAAAAACTGCTTTGCGTGTGTGTTCAAGTATTATTATTATTATCATTTTGTATAATTTTTTCTGTATTTTGTTTATAGCCAACCCCACAAAAGCACTTATGGCCGCGAACCTTTCTATGGAGTGTTATTAGTCAAGCAACTAAGAATAAGCTACGGACACGTTAGAAATGGGTAAAGCTCAAGGTTGGGTGTGTGTCTTTGTGTGTTTGGATTAAGGATGGACCTGTTTCGGTGCCACCATGACATCATGGGACAGAATCGCAGCTGAAATCAAGTGAAAGATTCGCCCTTCTCGAAGGTGGGCGTCGGACATCTTAACATTTCCTCCGCTCAACTGCCGCATTTTGCAACATTTGAATTTTAAATTTAGACTCCTGCTGCTGCACTTGACGATGAACACGAAACAGGCAACAAGCCACAAGCAACCAGAAAACAAGAGGCACGACAAATCCGAATGCGACTGCGAACGACGACCAGTCGAGCGTCAATAAATTGTCAAATTTTATGCACCACGATTTCTTGGCAAGGGTTCTTTATGTCCGCGTGCAAGTAGGGCATAAAATGTGTACTGGGAATATTAATGTGGATATATACCACATATATATTAAAAGATATTTATGGAACGATGAAGGCGCCTAGAACTCAAGTTGAAGAATCAATCGATCACTTATTAAATGTTTAAGCTAGTTAATAAATTCTCAATAGTTTATCTACTCAACTTTGATACTTTTATAAAATGTAATTAAATCAATATATATATCAATGCTTTCGATCGGTTCTCCATTAGCAAAGACCTCGTTCGCACCACACTCGCTAAGAGGATACATCTAATCGAATCCTAAACTTGTCAATCTCATAAGATATGCCAGTCAGATGATGGCGCAGACACCTCTAAACCAAATTAAAACCAAGCTCAGCTCAGCAGCTTAGCGGCTGGCTCTGATTGATTGTTTTAAGCCGGTAGGAGAACAAACAATTTGCATTGGCTCACGACTCACTGAGGGGCCTGAGTGCGACACATATCTAAGTATCTGCTGGCTAATTTATGAATGCAAAACCATTCATACCACACGAATTAGATGACTGCGAGCTGATGAGTGTGTGGGCGTGTGTGCGGCTGATTTGCGAGCCAGCCAAGGAAACAATGTCAAATGCGATCGTTTGGGTTTTGTCTCGGCCTCCGCCGTCTTCGTGTGGGTTGAGGGTCTTAACAAATTGTCACCAGAAATGGCCCGAACGCTCGAAAACGTTTAAGGTTCAGACGCTTGTTGAGCCTTCAGTGGCTGCTGCTGCAATTAAGCCAGGTCCCGCATATTTGGCAAGCACCAAAATGTATTTGATTTTATGGTTTTTATTTTTATTTTTCATTTTCGTTATGAACTCCATTGGCCTTGGGCGCATTTGCAATTTCGCACTGTACGAGTACAGCAAAAAAAAATGCAAAAAAAAAATAACAATGTTTATTGTGCGTTCAAGTAATTTCATTATTCGGTTTCTGTGGATTTTTGCATATTTTGTGCATAATCTTTTCGGTTTGTGGTTGGGCGCAAAGGCATTGCCTTCTAAGTGAACCAACAGTGGGTTTGAAAAGCAAACGACGGTTTGTACTATATAAAATAAGAAGAAAGGCTACAGTCGAGTGTGAGGCACTCGATATACAAAGAATATGTCTAATTATGATCAAATATATGATAAAACTTAGGTTAAACAGGCCGAAAGGCAGAAGAAAATGTTGACAACTGAAGACAAATGTTGCTAGAAACATGTTGCACAACAACCATTAGTACTGCCAACATAAATGTAGATGTTGCAATAGTTTTAAAGGTACATAAACTTTACTTTCTAATAACTTCTATGCTCATTATTAGAATTCTTAGAAATTGAGCGCGCCACTTTCATTATTCGAATCAATAATAATATCCTTGTATCATAAAACGTATTTGTTTAGTTACAAATAAAATATGTTTTGCTAACTAATTTTCCTTCTTAAAAACTGTTATTTAATATTAAAAAAAATAGACCAAGAATTTTATAATAAATTTCCGACAAATCAAAGTTCAACTACTTTTGAATTACACATCGATCCTAAATCGATAATTTAACTCTAATGTACTGGCCCGCACTGTAGTGTACCCCGTTTCACATCAAGGCAAAAATAAACATTTGTTAATATTGCTTTCAATTTATTTTGTCGCTCCTCCTGTGCTTAAATTATTTGCAGCATTTTAATTAATGGCTTTCCCAGCCAGCGGACACAGCAATGACAGTTTTTTATGCATTTTTATTAATAAATTTCTACCATCATAAAGCTGTCAGTGGCATGTTGGTTCACACGCTCAACCCTCGGCATTGGTATCTATGTATATCTGTTCTACGACAAAGTAATATCGCTTATAGCACGACATTAATATATCGATGGGTTCATCTGACTTTTTTCCAAGACACATTAAATTTTGTTAACATGACTTTTTATAATTTAAATTGCATATGCAAGCGACATTTTTTGTGCCCCAGAGTTTAACCCACATTCGGGCAAAACAGAAAACAAAAGTTGTTGAAAGTTGTTGCCAAAAGGAGAGA